TTCTGTTCACCAAACTATACAGAGTGATTCACTAATTTAGTCTCACTGTCAAATCTTTTCCTACTTTATGCATGGGTTTTCAATACTTCAACAGAGATTTACTATAGCGTCATCTCACCCAAATCACCCTTTACGTATTTTTTATCAAAATTGACAGGGTGATTCAGTAAAGATGTCTTAACAAAATATATTAATTCTTGTGTCGATAAGAGTAAGATTTTTATAATAAATCATGTTTCATTAACTAGAATTCGATACAGAATGATTAAACAAAGATTGCGTTCAAGAGGTCATAATAACTGAATCATCGTGTATTTCAAATAATGATTGTGTACTATCAAAACCATTTCGCCTGTGATTAAAATTATGTACAGAGTGATTAAACATTAAACTTTTTAATAATTTCAAGACTCTTTTTGCAATTTGATTTTTGAACAAATTTAGAACGTTAGCCATCTCAACTGATTCATCCAGTACATTTCAAGTTTTTTCACGGAAACTGGTTATATGTATATATTAAATAGTATTAATGTTTCAAGATTTTTTCAAAAATTTTCAGTTTTTTTGAATCACTCTATATTGGTATTAAATCCGATTTTGTATCAAAATTCGGTCAAATTACACTTTTCCACTTATTTCTGTTGGAAAATGACTGAATAATTAATAAAAAAGAAACAAAAAAGTCAAATGTCAAATTTTTTTGACAAATAGAATTTTTTATATATTTTTCTCTGCGTCCTATAATATACAGGGTGTCCCAAAGCTCCGTATTTCTTTGATTACTCTGACAGTAAAGAAGATAACGAAATGCGGTTTCTTTTGTAAGGTGGACATTTATTTTTTCTACGGTTCAAAAATATTTTCGTCATTATAGGTAATTCTTATATAGGGTGACGCACCAAAGTTAGATTTTTTCTTATGGTACACCCGGTATATTAATCGCTTATTTGAAAGAGTTTTTAATTCTAAGAATATCCATATTAGGTTTTATGGGTCTATCATGGACCATTTATTATTTATGGGCAATTTTATGAAAAAAAAGTACTATTTTTGAACTGTTTTTCGGATTTTTTTCATAGGGGATGTTGGGGAATTAAGTGGTTGGGGGACAAAAGCGAAGAAGTGTAAAACATTTCTGTTCACCAAACTATACAGAGTGATTCACTAATTTAGTCTCACTGTCAAATCTTTTCCTACTTTATGCATGGGT